CCAGATAGTCGTGACCTTGAACCAAAAGCAGAATTGCAGCACGAGTTCCACCAAATAAGAACACAGCAAAATATCATAAGTGACAATGTTGGAATCGTCTCATCATCATCAACAAAGAACCAATGTCGACATCCTATCTGGCGCTCTGCGTCCAGACTACAAATGGCAGATCCTATCTAGCCTATCTACAATGTCGCTGGTGATGTCAACAGCTCCCCGAAGTACGAGCGGATCTCAGCCAATGCCGTCCGCCTCAAGCACCAGGTATGTCGCTCGTATCACTCACAACCTCGATCCCCCACTCACAGATGCCACATGCACCCAAGGACCACCATGCGCCCTATCCAGCTCAGCGCAGCGCAGCTCGGCTATGGCTGCCTGCTCTCCCTGCTCGCCCGTGAGCGCGTGGGCCTGGCCAGCGATTAGCGCAGCAGCGCTTGCGCAGCATGCAGCCAGTGCCCAAATGTTGAATGCAAGGGCAGGCACTTTCCTAAATGGAAGTGGCCTGCCTGCTGCATGTGGCCTGGCTGTGCTGGGCCCCTGCCCAGAAGCTTCTGGTAGGGCCCGAGAGGCTGAGCCCCGGTCCAAACAAATCAGGCCCAGGGCCTGTGGCGGTTGTCTGTGCCCAACTGCCCGCAGCCTGTGTTCGGCCCTTGTGTGTATCTGGCCCAGGGCCTGCCTCAGTTACGTACTAGAAAGGCAGCCTGGGCCTGGGCGCTCTCAACCAACTGGCGCTGCGCAACTGCCTGAATTTCCCCAGTTGTGTGGTAGCCAAAAAAATAGGCCTCTTGGCCTCGGTCGGGCCTGCCTCCACTTACGGCGGCCGACTGTGCTGCTTACAGGGGAAAAAGAGGGCTCATCGGGGCCTTATGCCCCGCAAAATCAACTCTACAGAGAAGCATAGACACCGAACCGAAAGGAACCATCGACCTGACTAAAATCCTACCACCATCCCCCCCCCCCCCTTAAGGTCATGCGGCTCAAGCCTCATCACCAAGCCCTATTCCGGTCCAAATACAGTCCTCAAGATGATGAGGAGTTGTGTATGGGGAGGGGAGAAGGTAGGCTTCGTGAAGAGGTGTTAGGACTAGACAAGAAAATGTGTGATGCACGGACAAACCATCTGCTTCCAGTGGAGTTCGAAGCCCGAACTCACTCAGGTCTGTATTTCAACAATTCAGGTCTCAGTGGACCGCAAACAAACATGGTACTAGACCTCAAAGAACTTCTTATAACCGAAAGACCACAGAGTGGAAACACAGAGACCCCAAACATGAAAAAAAAAAAAAGAAACATATGACCCCAAACATGAAAAAAAAAAACGAAGCATACTGTAGCTGAGTGCTGCACACACGTAACTATGAACAATATATTAAATTATTAATAAAATAACAGACAGGTCACGCGTTCGAATAGCGTGGAAATCAGATCGATACAAAACGTTAGGGGCTACATGCTTTCCTTTTAGAGAAACAAAAAGAAAAGAAACGAAAAGAAAAAAAGGATCAAACGCAGACCACCGGAGGAAACAAGAGAAAAGGGGGGGGAGAGGGGGGAGGGGGGAGGAGTGGGGGGAAGAGCAGAGGGGGGGGAAGAAGAAAGAACGACGGGATGGGGCAGACTATTTTGTCAGATATACAGACCTGAAAATAGTGGAAACGGGTCAAGAGAGCGCCGATGCTTTCCCTGTTATGAGCAGGATGGATTGCTGCAATCTCTTCGTCTGAAAGGTTCGCCATTTCGCGAAGAACAAATGCAAGGTTCGCGCCCATGTACGTGTCAGGTCCGTACCATACGGACACTTCCGGTACTTGTGCCGATGCCTGCAGATGTCCGTTCAGTACCAAAGGAGTCGTCGATAAACGGAACATCACAGATCCGATGCACCAAGCCAAAACATGACCACAGATTCAATGCACAGTTGCGATATAAATATTTACCATTTAGTATTCACCCAACTTTCACGCTCACTGTTACAGTCCCCAATACATGTTGGCCCCCATCATTTTGACCGCAGAAATCGCACTCTCTCTCTCTCTCTTTTTTTTTTTCTTTTTTTTTTTTCCTAATGGCCCAATGGACCATTGATCAGATATTAAACTGATCAGAACAGATACAGTGCACTTGATCTATTTTTAGCCAAAAGGCTGAGAAAGGTATATATTATAGATTATTTGATTCTGTTAGAATTTAGAACCCACACTTTGCTTTTCTCTTTTCTGAGAGTCATATCTGTCCGTACCTGATGGCAAAAGACAAAACTTTGGGTTCGAACTCAGGCCGAGATGTCAATCTATGCCTACCCCGTCTTCACCCGAACAGAACGCCCGGTCATGATCGCTGCATCTGGACTGAAAGTTGCCATAAAAATACAGCTATTATGAACGGGCGTTCTATTCGGGTGAAGAGACTGAAGACCATGCATTCAGGATAACGTCCATGGCCGCAAAATGGACATATAGTGTCCGGATGCGGGCAGTGCCTGAGTCGGGAACGGAAGGACAGTCCTCTACACACATGGATGCAGAAACCATGTCATTGTAGTGATTGTGACAGAGACGATGGCAGCTACAGCTGAGTGTAATAGTGTTTGTAGCTGTGCAAAGGAGAAGGTCACGTCGCAGAGTGTTGGTACATCGTCTTGCTGCAGCACGAGGCCAGAGGAATGACCTTCGACAAAGAGATTGCGGACGGTTTGTTGAGGCAAGAAAACAGCATCATTATGTCAGAAAAAATCACTAACATCAGTCATGGCATGGACCATGGTGCCGTTGTCCCAGAGATCCCAGTGGTCAGAGGCATGTACAATGGCCATAGAATGGCCAGGTACATGCACAATGCAGGCAGAGATGTGGGATGGAGGATTAAGCCACTCACTATTATGGTCAAGCAACAACTGATTTTCAACAGCGTCAAGCTGATACGCAATCKTAARAAAYTGGGATGCACTATAACGTTGACGCTGATAAGCCTGTAGGCAGACATTTGTGGCTGTCAAACCACAAGAATTTGGTAGGTCTGCCCGCAGATCCGAATCGGTCACCACTGGAAAGCCAGATGTGATCTGGCGGGGTCGGCGCGTAAAAGAC